TCTGTTTCATTTACTTGAGGTGATCAGAAATAGGTGAAGACAGCCAACATCTGGCAACCTTCTGATATTTTTTGTTCACTGCCAAAGAACACTTCTCACCCGTCATGGAAAAGGAAATAGGACAAAGCTACTAAAAAGCCATCTTCCTGCAGTGGCTAGATGTCACCTCTCAGATCTCATTTATGTCATGGACGGCCACGGCACAAGGACAGAAACCCTGCCCCAAAGAACCACAGCACAAGCTAAAACCCACAGGCAAGAGGGTGCAGGAATGGAAGGGGCATGAAATAAAAAAGATCACATGCTTCCAGCACCCAGCAGAGCTCAGGACTTGTTTTATTTTCTGTATCTTATGAAGACCTCTTACCTCACTAATCTCTGATTCCCAGACTCTGCAGACTTTCTTGCATTAGTTTGGTTCAAAATGTTAATCTGACTGCATCAGTCACTAGTCACAGCTCTTGTTTTCTTCCTGTGATGCCACATGTAGATGACCATACATGAAAAGGCATTTTTCCATTGCTTACAAATATACAGCCAAGGTGATTCAGAAAACTATCTAGTCTGCTTCCCTTAAAATCTGGCAAATGAAGGACTTACAAGAAAAAAAAAGAAAAGAAAAAAAGTCAGTGCCTAACTTAAGAACTAAATCCATGTTTAAGCACTTAAATATGTGGTCTGATTTTCAAAAAAACTGGAGAAGTGCCAGCAAGGCCAAAGGAGGGCTGATGGCCTCAGAATGATTTGGATCACTCAACCCCCTGTTTTGGTGCCTAAATAGCAAATCAAGAACAAGGCCTAGGAGCTCCTTTTTAAAAAATACTTGTATGTATACTGGCTAGAGCTGGAAGCATAAATCAGATCATTGATCCCCTCTGAACTAGCAAATAACTTGAATTAGAAAAAACACTCTTTGTATTATAATGGCATTTGGAAGATTGAATACTATTGTGTTAGGCACTGAAAGGACATGAAGGCAGTTGTTCTTGTCCTAAAGATGCATGCCACAACAGTGTTAGGTCCTAGGACTTTGGTACAGAAGGCCCCTATTGTTCTCAACCTGAAACCCAGGTAAGAAACTGCTCCTTGCACTAACATCAGTCACTCATCAGCCTGTTAGACTGATACCTGTCAAAATTCACTTTCTGTTCAGGAATTAAATAGCTGAAACGCCGATGTAAGCCAACCTAAAAGGATTTTCTTTGCAGAGCGCTTTTTATTCAGTATACTTTACAGAAAGAAAGGGGCCCAAGGAAGAACAAATATAAATCTCTTACCAGGCTTCTTCATCCATTTCCCTCCCAAAGTGATGGTATCATGTATCTGCTCTCAAATTTTTTTCCCAAATGACTGCATCTATATCTCTGCTTTTTTGAGGAGATGGTTTTTATGTGGAAAAGTCCCTGAAGTTCCTTAAGATTACCCTGACAATAGAGGTAGCTGTTTCTTTCATATGGCTAATCAGGGTTAAAATTACCTGCAAGCGGGAGCTTCTCAAGAGGAGCAAGATACCTCTATTAGCAAAGGCTTCTTCCTCTGTCTGGGCAGTGCCTATACTTAACTAAATCAAAGTTTATTTAAAAGCTTATTAGAGCTTTTGGCTCCATACAGATATCACATTTCTGGGAAGTTTTGATCAAAAAGCTTGGCATGGCTACAATTACAATATTGTTACACAAGTCACTGAATGTTATTGATATGTTTAAAACAAAAATTCTGTGTTCATTTTATATACAATTTATCTTGATCTCAGTCAGCAAGACCAAGGCGCGTATAAGTTTTTCAGAATTTTCATTTTCCCTTTAAATCTTCCAAATGTATTTCCAGCTTACAATAAAACTAGCTAAACAAATAACGCTCAAGCAAATCCAATAATAAACTGTTCAGTGAGAAAAAAAAAAAGTAGAAATAATTAAAAGGACACAGCGTCTATTGACTTTCAATAGACCTATTAATAATTCTTCATGGTTTTCATTCTTGATTTTAAGTTAAACAGAACAAACCGTAAAAGTTGTCCAGGGAAAGGAGATACTGTTCCACTGGGTAGTTTTCTTATGCTGCTGCCCACATCGTGATCTATCCACACTCACATGATTTCCAAAGTCTAAACTGAAACAAACATTCTCAGACTGCTAGTGACAGCTTGGAGTGTCGTATCTGTACTTAATGGAACAAAACACACAAACCAACTTGTAGACACACCACTGCGTCAAGCTCAATTACCTAAATAAACAGAAGCAATGGTTAATTTTGCTTGCTGCTGCCTTTTTTTAAAACAGCCTCGGTGTTGATTTTTTGCAGTCTTTTCCCCGGAGGACTGCATCTGCCTGGTTTAAAGTATCATTTCCAAACACGACGTCCAAAAACTAAAAGCTTGCTATAGAAAATCTGTATAAATTTGGGAAAATTACTCGGGGGGGAGGAGGGGGAGGGAAATTAGCTTCAATCCTAAGAGGAACCTTATTCAAGGAAGCACTGTCGACAGGGCAAGCTGAGCTTCTGCTGCCCATGCAGGAAGGTCATGACCTGCAGTGACGGACACCCGTCAATACCTTGACACCAGGGAGCACTCACTTCGATTACGCCTCTCGCCGTTGGTAGCCCTGAGGCAGATGCCTACGTGTTAGCCAAACGGCATGACAAACCCTAACATCAGCAAGGTCACACTGACAACTTGTTAAAATACATAGGGGTGAGGAGAACAATATTTTTGGGCTGCAATTTTTCTTTTTTAACACAGCCTTATGCCTCTTATTATTTACACAATGCATACTGGGTCATCTTCTACAGGGAAGAGAACAATTGGACTGACGCTGACCCAGGCTGACTGAGGCTGAAAACGTGGCTCTTCTTTCGCTACCCCTTTGAGCTTGGTTAACAGGCCTCCCATCTGGAAATGTTTTCCCTAGCTTTTTCACTCCATGCCTCTTGTATACTTGTATTATAACATGTTTTAATAAAAACTTATTACACAAACATAAACACGCACAAAGGAAGTCCCAGTGGATGAGAGACCTAAACGACAACCACTGCGATACCATGAATAACAGATCTTTCCACATGTTTGCACGTCATTCTGCATGGATAAAATCCACTCTCTCACATTCCTTCTCCAGCACCCACAAATGAACAAAGTGGCCTGCAGATGTGCAACAGGGCAGGTCTGTGGGCTGACGTCCTGTCAATCCAAGGCAAAAGTTTATACTCTGACCTTCAGGTGTGCACTGGTAATTGAGTGAAGTTAAGAAGGTGCAAAACCTTCACAGATGCACAATCAGTCCAGCAAATTGATCCCCATGCACCCTTATCCCTGCACACAGCCCCACCGAAACCAGCAGGGCTCCACATGGGCAGAGATCTGCCTGCAAGTATCCCACTGCGAAGGCCGGTAGGGAGCAAAACACAAAGGATATAGAGGAGGCCGGGGCAGGGGGCAGAGCGCCTGCAGGCAGACTCACGCCTATGCAGGACCCCTACTGCCTAGCCTATGCAGGACCCTGCAGGACCTGCCTAGCTGCTGCAGGCGCTGGACCAGTGCCAGTCAGATCTTATTTGGCCCTTTTATGGTGGAAATACTGCCTGAATACCAGCAACGCTCACCCATGGGAGCCTAACGGCAGATCAATGGCATTTTTTGTAGGACTTGCCATAGAAAGGCCCTCTATCTACAGGCCTTAAGCACTGCTCTGCAGCCTTTCTTCATACTAGAGAGGCATGAAAAGGATCACACTGCTTTTCACAGCAGAGGATTTCCTCTTAACAGAGCAGAATAAGCTTACCTACGAAGTGCACCAATAAAGGTTTCCCATTTCGTACCCAGCAACTTTCGTATCCAACTTTCTTTACCACATGTTTTTTTCTGCTGTAAGAGGCAAGCAGATTAATGACATTTCTGAAAACTAGTCTCTGGGTTAAATCCAGCTTCCAGCTGGTGCCTATCAAGAGGCTACAGATCTCTAAGGGTGCAGAGTCATTCCAGATAAGACTAATGACTAATTCCAAGCACTTTACTCTCTATGTAGATTCAAATACCTGTAGTTAAGCAATAGTTGCTCCTAAAATTCTCTTCAGGCACTGAATAATGCAAGTAATAAGCAGTGTTCCCAGGTGTATTCAGTTTTGTCAGTATTCTAGACAAAAATAGATAAAGAAACCAGTATCACAGAACTACTCTAATACTCCTCCGGTCTGATGCCAACCTAAGTGAGGCTAGAACTGCCCTCCCCGTGAATACCAGGGTAAGTACACATTGCATAGCACTGTTTACCTGGAATCTATATGTTTAGATTTTAATAGACTGCTGGTTTTACAGCTGAATATATAGAAGCTCCCGAGTTACAAGAAGAAGAGTTATTATTGCAAACCTGCCTATATCTATAGTTGGTGTTCTTGGAAGATGAGGGTGCAAGTAACAAGAAGCTAACAAATTCATGCCAGTAAGTCAAGTTTAATTTGCTTTCCTTTTCCCCTCCCTTCTAAAGCTGGCTGATGAACAAGTTCCACTGTAAATGCAGTGACTAGCAAACGCGAATGCCATCACAAATAGAGCGCTGCCAAGAGGAAGTCCTCCGTTGACTAATAACAGAGTTTCCAATAGCAACTGCAAGATATTCTGGGCACTGAACTGAAGAGATTTAGGGATATATTCTAAACAAGATGTACTCTTTACGAGTAGAGAGTATGAATTGTATAACTTTTGGACAAAAGATTTTTCAAAACTCATCAGTAACTTGTTTTATAAAGGTGGAATCAGAGATTTTGCTGGCTCTTCAATGACCTTCACTTCAACAGATGATACCAAACCTTCCCTATCAACCCTGTTATCCAATCACAGCTGCTCAGAATAGGTGCAAGTCATTGCTACACAGTTTGGCATTGCAAAGGTCTCAGATCTTTGCTGTCAATTGAAACAATATGAAATCAGTCTATTATTGAAAGAGGAGGCTGCATGCTTGATAGCTATTTTTACGTAGCATTTGTCACTATCAGAGCACAACACAGAATGTAATCAAGTTTATTTGTTAAATAAACAACCCTCTTGCAAGCCTATCCTTTAATCCAAGACAACATCAGCAATATATTACAAATCATTTAGTAAAATTTAAAAATTCAATTTTACAAAAAATGTATTATACCTCAGCTTCTCTTCTGTACTCTTTGCTTGCTGAGATAGCAGGGCATTTCAGTTATTTCTTCTGCAGACACAAGACTTCAAGTTTTTTTCATTTGAAAAGAGAAAAAAAAAACCTCGATTCCCACTGAGGAATTCAACAGATCATTCAAAAACTGCCCATGCACTTTCACAGGAGTAATTCATTTTACCTCTTAAGTAACATTTGTCAGAAATATTTTGTTAGGTCAATTCATAAGCTCAATAGTGCTAAACAGTAGTTTTCAAAAAAATATTAAGCAATAACAAAAAGTCTGGTGGTTCTAAGCGGGCAATGAGATGAAATTTGTCATCAAATCACTGCAATCAACAAACAGAACAAATTTACAGAGAAACAAATAATCAAAATGCACAAGTCTGACATTTAAATTCCTTGTTTTGTCAAAATTTGCCTCTGAATAAAAAAACATCATATGTGGCACTCAAGAAGCAGAGCTGCCTGCTGTATAAGAGTACTGCACTGCTAATTTATGAATGCCTTGCAGGTAAAACATTATACACCTCAGCTGCATAATTGAAGTTCATTATATAACTGATTAAATACAATGTGGGAGAGTTTTCATTGTTACAAACTACACACAACAAAATGTTCAAGCAGTGTGACGAGCTTTCTATAAATCAACCTGACACTTCTGTCTCTTTACTTCACTGACTATCATAAATTTAACTCTATGAGGTGAAACTTTCCGATATGCATCTTCTACCATACTACAGACTCAGAGGTCAACCTACGTTGGCCTTTCTGCGCTTGCTATAGTAGCCAAACTAGGCTACTACTTCCAGTAAAACACAGCAGATATGTGCTTCCTAAAGGTAAATTTAGGAGGCAGAGAGAATATTCTACCGTACAGAATGAAGTTGGATTACTGAACTGCTCTTTAATCTGAGTAATTTTAGCCTACAGTAGAGCTTTCCACTATTTTGTTTTCAGAATAAGACCAAGTTATTTGAGATGTAGATAAAAGAAAAACAAGACGAATGAAGATTTACAACTCTAGATGGCACACTCATACAATAAAAGGCCGTAAATCTGAACGGAAATACACATATTCACTTATGAGATTACCTGTTTTTCCACCTGAAATATAAATCATCTATCTGCAAATAGTGTTTTGAGGCCAATTTGTGAAGCAGTGAATATAACAAAGGATCTGCAATATCTCCCCAGTTTAGAATTGGGTGATTTAACATCATTTTTTTATATATATTTATAGAAAACTTAACAGTTCTCTATTTCAGCAGTACTGAATTAATTCACTTTAAGATTCTACACAGAATTCATTCTCATGGCATGGCACCCATCCTCTCACAGCATCACACTCACTGCTGGTGACAACCTATTTCACAACGGGAATGAGATCTTATGTTTCCTGAAGGTACTGTTTCGTGCAACCACCAGCTATACACATTTTCAAGCTTTAAACCCATAGGGGAAGTTTCTGTTGCGGCTTTGCTTTTAGCAAGAGCACAGCTTTGTTTTATTACATCAGATCTGGGGTCACAAAAAGGACATCTTAATGCATAGCCTTTAACCTGCCCCTTTACACAGAGTAGGAAGTATAAAATTTGAAACTCAATTATTCTGGATGGTGATAACAATCAAAATGACAGTGCAATATTTTTATTAGAATTTGTCAAGAGTGTTTTGCTGTTATGTACTCTAACTGAAGCTGCAATAAAAAAAACCATAGCTGCACAACTGAATTGTCAAGAGTATGCATGTGAACAACAGTCAAAGCAATGAGAACTGCAAAAATCCATGAATTTGAGTGTCTGATAAATTATTCAAATACATAAACAAGTTCCTAAAAGACAAACATGGTATGGGTTTACAGGGTGCTAGATACTTCATGCTCATGGCTGCACGCACACTTTTATCCTCCAGTAAGCACAATGTAGTAGAATGAACTGCCTCAAGCTTACTCTGCAAGGACATTCAGTTACCGTGGAGAAACTAACACGCCATAGCTTACACTACAGTGAGGCGGTAGCCAGGCTTTAGGTACAAAATTAGCACAGACCAGCATGCAGCCCTGTTTTCAAATGGTCTTTAAACTCTTGATGTGAAACATATGTACAACAAAGGGCAGGCAGAAGGAATAAAAAGTGCGTGTATATATATATATATACACACACACACACAGATTGGAGAACTAAGTGGACATGCAAGCCTTTGCCCACAAAAGCCACAGAAAGGAATGTCTTTGGCCTTAAGCCAGTACAAAAGCCCCACTGGAGCAAAGTATACTAATAGGCTTTCTCCATTTCTGTAATACCAGATAACAATACCTTATTGAAACTATTAACTTTTTTCTCTAATAAAGTAAATTCATGCACAATAATTACATCCTGTTGTATGGTAACTATTGGCCAGAAAGTATATACCTGTGTATTTAAGAGTTAAGTGCACTACAAGCAAGATAAAGTTTTCCATCGTACAGTATTCATCAACATATATAAATTTGTAACTTTGACTGGCAGACCCAATAAATCACTGTAATTTTTTTAAAATCATTTAACAGGTTTATTTCTACAAATTATGACTTAAAAGCAAGTAATGTACATACAAAATCTAAAGAGACTGATGTGCAACACATTTAATTACTTGAAGTTGTCTTCCTAGGATAAGTTATTCATTTCAGTGGGTATTCAGCATAGTTCTCATAGCAGCAATAAATAGGCATTTTTCTTTTCATAGAAACATTTTAGGTAACCATATCAATCAATACAAAATTAATTTTTAACAGCACTACAGTAACTTAACCCATAGGTCATTAAGGTTGATCATGGAGTTGGAAAATTTAATATTGCATCTCTTTGTGCCAATCTAAGATTGAGTGATTTGCAGGGTCTCCAACATGTCTTCCACTGCCTTCAGGGAGTATTTAGTCTCTTTCTTACAGCGGCCTGCAAACTTTAAAAAAAAAAAAAAAAAGAAAAAAGCATTGGTCGTATATCAGAAATTCTACAGCAGAAAGACTCTAAAAAGCATTAACTACTATAATTTCAAAAGTAGTCTCTTTAATGCTTCACTAAGACTTATCATTTTCACTAGAACGCAAGCTATACCAACCTTCTTCTAATAAGTCATGAAGAAATTTAACAAAACATAATTCCTTAATTTCACTCATTTGCTCTGAACTGAACTTTTAAGACTAATAAATATACTGCTTTGAAATTTAACATTTATCTAAATACACAAAAAATCTTAGTGCTGCTTTGTTTGCGCTGTGACTTATAACATGAATTTTATTTCAAATTTGAATTTTTGATGTGATTTACATTAGATTATATTCGTAATTTAAATAGTGGCAAGACTTGGAGCTGGTATAAAGGCTAATTAGATTCTATTTTTGTTACAGCAAGAGAGAGAAGAATGAGCTACTTATCAAAACATCTATAATACAAAGCAGTCATCATACAATTACATTTCATGGTTCGATGTAACTGTGAGTAATGACCTTTTATTTGATTGTAATCTATTACAACTGCAGTTTCAGAGTGTTTGAGATAAAGCTTATGTTGATAACAAAGGAAGATATAGCTTGGTAAATACTACTTTTCAACGATATAGCTTTAGATTCGCTATAGTACAGGCTGCCAAGGTTGGGAGAGGAGGGAGAAGATGTGTAGGAGCTGTTGACTACCCCACGCTGATCGGAAAAGGAGTTTTCTAACTGTACTGACAATTCTTATCACTCATCAGCCATGATTAACACAGTAGATTTACGGACTTCGCTGGTGCTTTAGTCAAATGAAACTCAACCATTTTTAATGCACCTGCATTAAAACGATTCTGCATTTTGGGCTGGGGGGTTTGGTAAAGAAATTACAGAAGCAGAAACTATAACTTGCCATTAGTAAAATAGCCTAGTCTCTATCTACATGTTAATATATCTAAACACTCAATAAATTTTTCAATTTAATGTTTTTTTATTTCAAATACCACTGCTGTCTTGCACAGTTAGTCCTTGATTTACAAGGTGTCCCTTCTCTCTTGTAATTAACTTAATTTAGCAAACTCTTCATGACCTGTTAAGAAAGATTAAGTGATCAGACCCAGGTAATATCACACCAGCAACAAGCTGCAGGACCTGTTAACCTGCTTTTGACCCCCCGGCTAAAATCTAACATTGGGATTCCCAATCAGTACCTAGCTCTTAAAGGAACAGTTTTGGTACAGCAAATGAATGCCATTTCAAATTAAATACTTAGGAAAAAAACGCTGTTACAATGACAACACTTTATAATTAAAGGACATACTGAAAACACCGCATTTTCTAATTTCGTATTTCCACAAGATGAATGACCGTCCCATGGTCTGACTCTAGTAGCAAGTATAAATCTACTCTTTGTTGTGCAGCTTTCATAATGACCTGCAATAACCAACATTACAGGAAAAACAGATTTCTGAATACTGTCCCAGCTGATAGAAGTAACTTTTGCTTGGATTTGAATTTCATACAATATTCTCTTTTTCTTCACGCTAAACAAGAGTAGTCCTAAGTAGATAGTTTGGGAGGCTTTCACAAAAACAGACAAACAAACAGCCTCTCCCCGCAAAACTGATTGAAAAAAATTGTTTCAAACGAGCATTTCCGAGACTTTCAATAAAAAAATCACAGAAGTGTGAATATTCGGTGGTCAGAAAGCTGTATGGCAAGATTCCCAGCAAGCATGCAGAGGAAGGTTTCAAGGTAAAAATAATTTTACTTATTTTTACTTCGCCTTCGGGACCCTGAAAGCAAAGCTGACATAAGACATTAGTTTAAGAATGGTACTTGTTAGTTTCAAGAGTGGCTGCCTTAATGATACTGACGTGTACTTTAGGCTGAACAAATAAAACCAAACTCCGCGTCATAACAAACAGAAGTAAACTTGGAAATCTAATCACTTCAAATTTGCCTTGACGAACAATTATTTTGTCTATTCTGCCATTACGCTGCAATTTGACTGATTGAGCCGGAATCCATTTCTTAAAATCATGATTTAATTTTCTTTTTCCCAAATGGTTTGTAACAAAATCACCTTTCTAACCATAAATAACATGAGGACTGCTAACGCAGAAGAATTTAGCAGTGTACCCAAGAAGCATGTATCTGGAAAATTACTATGACCAGGATCACATTAAAGACTTTCGTGAGCGTTAATCAAACTTGCCTGCCTCTGCTGAAGCACTTCTACCAGAGGACATGCTAAACCAATTATCTAACTGAAGAGCCCTAGGTAGCCATATTTTGTTTCGATGTTAACGTAACTGTGTGACTCATGTCTACAGTTAGAACGGCTATACGTTTCTTCACAGAATCTGCACTGATAGAATACTCTGAGTTTCCCAGTGATAAAATAATGCAAAACTAAGCTTAACCTTATAACAATTATTTCAATAATTAGTACTTCTATAATGTCTTTCAAATGAAAGTTTAAATTTTTATTTTATTCTTTTTTACCCAACCAATTAAATTTAAGCAGCCTGGAGAATAATGACCTTTTTTAAGCGCCTGTATTAGGAGCCAGGAATTCAAGCTCCAAGTAGCAACCTTAGATACAAAACCTTTCTGTCTTCCTTCATAAGTTTACATTTCTCCTCGATTAGGCACAGACGAGAAGTAGTAATCAGCAGCGATGGTTACATACTTAACATCAGAATAAGAGTATTAACCAGATGGAGCAAATATCTGTACTTTTCAAAAAATTATTTAATTCAGCTGTTCTTTATCACTACATGTTTCTTTAAAGGAACTACTCCACAGTCCAACAGGCTTCTATAAAAGTAAAGTAGTTTTTTTACACTTAAAGATTATCGTCATTTAAAAAAACTAACCAATCAAACAAAAAGTTCCTTACATTTCAAACAGGAATGCATAGGAAAGGCAAAACTCAAGTGCCAAAGCACACCACTTGAATGAGAGAATAAACAGAAAGAAAGAGACCAGTAAAAACACCTCAGGTAAACTGTATGAAAAATAAAAATGCAACTACAGCTAGTCCTGAATTTGAAAAATAAAGGATATTTTCCAAAATTATCGAGCAAACTGGTGGTAATTCTAAGTTCAAAATCCAGATTGAGAATGAGGAAAGATCTCCTTGCAAGACAATTGCTCAAGAGCAATTTTTCCCTATTAATAACTTCATTTTTAAAAGTCAGAAATTCATGTAATTTGACCGGGCAACCAAGACAGGATTGCAAATACATCTTGTTTTGTAGTCATGTCCTAGAGAGTAAATTGCATTTAAGAGTATCAGAAGGTCCAACTAATAAAACAAGTCAATGACAAACTCAACAAGCTCTTAAGGGTCTCGTTTAACTTTACAAAGAGCTTTGGATAATGCAAGGAAAGTGAGAAGGATTTATAGCGATAATGTAAGTATCCAGCTTAAAACCTGCTGGACAATCCTCCTTTAACGGAAGAAGGCCACGAGGGCCTCCACTGACACAAGTGACAGAGGTTTCATCCTTAGGTCCAAAAGATGACGATTTCCAACTGCTCAACACTCTACAGGAGCAAACAAATCAACAGTGACTCATAGGGGAAACTGCCACCTACTACATCACCAAACACCATTTGCTGTAACAGTTGGATGTTGTAAGTGTCTGATGTAAACACCGGAGTGGCCAAACCCTTCCGCAGTCCTGTCAGAGTAACAAGCTCAGCAGGGCTGGGCTGGGGGTTGTCCAGTCCAGCTGCAGTCACTAGAGCTTCTTGTGGTACTTTTCTGAAGGGGAAGGGTTGTTCGCGCCAGTTGCTCGCCAAATTCTAGTCTGAGCACTTACACTTTCTGCATAGCTAAATTCCCCTGACGGTTCCAGTCAGATATGGTATGCGTCACTTTATGTCCGAAACAGCTAAAAAAGACCTGCTGAAGTATGCAATGTATCACAAAAGTATGAAGTCACAAAGAAGTTATGACATTTGTTTTAAATATACGTTAGTTGTGCTAACGTGATCTGTTCTGGTAAGCATCAACCAAAAATGCTTAACGCAGGTTCCAAAGTAACTTCACAGAAACAATGGAAGCACACTTTTCAGTTCAAAAAAAAAAAAAAAAAAAAAAAAACCTCCCCAAAATACAAGTCATATTTTCTTAGAGATTTCATTTTCCTCAGAGAGTGCCGTTAACAGAAAGTCACATGAAAAAAGGAAAAAAGGCAAACTTATATGCCTGTGAGTCAGTAAGTTCAAACTATCATAACTAAACTTTAATGAAACTTTCATCATATTTGGAACCTGGAGATACAAATTTCTAGATATTAATCTTGGTACACCATCAATCCACAGCCAATACTGATTTTATATTCCCATCCTGATGCGTCTTGAAGGGGGCTGTTTCCCACAAGTGTTAATGGGTCTTTCTGCTGGTCTTTGAACTGGAGACCTTATAACACTCAAAAACATTTTTAAAGCCTCTCTAAATCTAAGCATTTCATTTCATTAAGGTGTAAAACATGTTAATAGTAGTTTCTTCTCAAATTCACACATTTTAATACCTATCTTGTTCTATCAGTGGTAAATTTACTGTGTGTTCTGCTCTTCAAGTTGTTTTGATAAATCCTGCAGTACTTGGCTTTTCCATCAACTTTGTGCTTACAGGAATATCAGACATACGGAAGTAAAAGAAATCCTGCTTATTTGTGTGGAATTGGATACAAAAGTCATACTAAACAGTAAGGTATGTGTGACCTTACTATAATGAACAAGTTAGATAAATTATTAACAAAAAGTAGGGAGTCAATTATTAACAAAAAGTAGGGAGTCAATTAAACAGCAAAACAGAAAAAGAAACTTTCAGGCTTGCAAGGATAAAGTGCTTAATTATGTCCTCAGGGATACAATATACTTCCTACAAAACCGTTTCTAACGAGATAATCTCCACTGTACAGTATAGTCAAATTACATGGCTAATCAAGGAAAATAGAAACTACTTCAAATTTGCAAGGCATCGAAAACACTTGTTGGCCAAAAGAAGCTGCACTCTTGTCAATTAACTGACAAACAGTACATTAAGAAAACTGTGCTGTTCATAAAGGAAAAATCTAATTTAATTCCATAATAGATGACAATGATCAAAAAGCCATTTGCTAGTATTTAGCTTTGAAATAGCAGCAGTAAAAATAAATAAAAAAATATTTGGTTCTGATACTGAAATATTAAGAGATAAAAGAGCATTACATAACTGTAAGTGTAAACTCTTTGCATTTAATACCAACATATTTGCTCATAAACAGAGTTCTGGGGAGAACTGGACAGTCTGTTGTTGATGTTTGACCTTACCGATACATACACTTTGACCGCTAGACTATTAAAAATAGCGGTAATGGAGTCAAACTGACATACTAAGTGCAGGATGCAAGGACAGAACCTATGAGTTAAAATCTGTTTTCTATTCATAGTTAGGTGAAGCAAGTTTAGTGGTTCATGTATAGCTTTTCAGATCGTTGAAAAGACTCCTATTGACTTTAGTAAGCTGTGAGTGTGGCCTACAAAGTCTACATTTTCACAATTTTACAGGAATTTTTCAAATGAAATTACGCAGAACCAGCATCAGTCACAGCTCCTAAAGTAATTAAGAACACTGTTAAGTGTGCTTTTAAAAGATGAGAATAAACTGAAGGAAACTAAATTCTAGAATTTTCATTTGTTTTCTAGTAAATAGTATAAGTAGATGACCAAGTCATGCTAAGAATTAAGATATACAAAGTTTTATTAAAATACTTAGATAGCTATAGACTTGAATCTTGGAAGTCAGCATTATACTACATTGTACACTCAGAAGTCATTTTATGTTAATACAAAAAAAGTATTCAAAGCTAATGAGTAGATAATACAAACTGATAACTGTAAAATATCAACTTTACTTGTATTAATTTATTAAGACTTTCAAGAAAGTGAAGAGAAGTAGAACACATACAATCCAAGCAAATAATGCTGACTTATGTTAACTGTCATATCTAACTTTCTAAATAGCAGTTGATAAAAATGCAGAAAAGAAGAGAGCATGTAAAGGGTACCGTAGGTATCTGAACGCAATTACGTACTAACCTGGTACGCTCTGTTTATTTGGTTAGCTGCCCAACTGGCATATTTCATATTATCTTTTTTCATTTTTGCACTTGCTTTTGGGTTGGAGGCAATATGACTGGCAGACTAGAAAAACAAAAAGAAAAACAGTACAGCAGTAAAATATATATGCGGAAGTAAACAGATGGACATCTCTGCTTTTGGAGCTGCAGGCTCAGTGATACGGGGGGGAAAAAAACCCCATGTGATTGGTAAACAGCATCCAATTGAGAAGTAGCTAAACAATTGTTTGTTCTAATTAAAACTAAACTAGACTTAGGTTCAGTTGTGTACTGAGTTAGGGACAGAAGCTGGACATAATCAGCTTCTCCCAAAGTAAAAAGTATAAATCAGTTTTTCCAATTCATTATCACAGAAGATATACAAAACATTACTGTGCAGCCCAGATTCCCATTAACAACATAACATTTTTCCATATGACATCAGATATCAAGTTTTAAAGGCAGATGAGACCTTATACTAAGTTCCCTCAGCAGATATGGCTGGAAGCCTCTACAAAGCATTTACCAGAGATATGGACCTTCTCCACGGACTACAAGTACCTGGCATGTCTGTCAAGTACAAAAGTAGCAGCCACAGTAAGAACAGATCTTAAACCTTGGAAATAGGGTTATGAAGAAATTGGGAGCCAAAGAGTAGACACACAAACAGAGGTGGAGAGCTGCCCTTGCAAAAATCACCTAATGCAATCTGACAGCCAACCACCTGAGAGAAACTGAAGGAACAGAGACAAAGCACACATTCCCTTTTTGCAGTAGTTTACTTGTGTTATGCAAATCCAGGTTTCTGTATATGACTTTTAGGCACCACTAAAACAAACTTCTCATCAGTAACAGGTGCAGAATCTCCTTTATAGACTGAAAATAACAGGTGAGAGGTAAGATCTGGATGAGGACAAGCCAAGATTGGCCATCATAAATCCTTATGGCTGTTCTAGAATCAATTGAGTTGTCCATATGTATACACACCTAAAAGTCACTTGAGGCTAATAAACACATTAATTTATACAGCATTAAATGCTTTCTCCAAAAACTTTTTCCTTAAAAGCTAAAGCACCCAAGGAACAGCAAGGAGCTATCTTTTTCTTTCTTGAACACATAATCACCAATCCAAGATGGGCTAGGAAGGTTAGGTCCGAGTCTCTTAAGTGTGATGTCCAAGAGAAAGTTATCCTTGACAGGAAATTCCTATTAATACTGTCTGGCATTTTTAGGAAGCCTCAAAGTTATCTGCCTCACCTCTCCCCGAAAAAGGAAAAAGATCATTTAAAAGATCTAAAGAAAGAACTTCCACCAAGGCCTAAACACCCATGGAGAAACTGAAGTATTGATGCCAGTACCTTCTACCTGTAGGTACTGTATACATGGCATCACATGCTTTTGTATCTGCCACACTCAAGACAACAATGCTGTACAGGATAAACATCGATTCTGAAACTGAAATGGAAAGTTCCATTTAGAAATTAGAAAGAGAAAAGAAAAAAAACAGAAGAAAACAAGTTGGTAAAAAAAAAAAAAAAAAAGCAGTCGTCACGTTATGCTGCTACCCTTCCATAGTTCACCATCCTGTAGAGAGGAGACTGACTTTAAATTCTTTTGCACTTCATGCGTCAGTGATTACAAATCTTTGGAAAACATGGGCAAGATTTATAGCTGAAGAATACTTTGAGTAAGGAGAAAGACTACAACAGCATAGATTAGCTTTTTGTAGTTGTAAAAGAGGACAAATATCAAAGCATAAGGGACTTCCCACAAGTAGAAGAGAAAGATGCTTCTACTTTAACTTAGCACTCCAGTGGCAGACTTACAGAGATATCCATTGAAAAAGATGCACAGGAGGAATAATTTCCTGAGGCTACGGCTAAGAAAATACATAGTTTTCCAAGTCTTTTTTTATATATACATACATATACACACCTATCTCTAGCAAGGACACAGAATATAATACAAATTCACCGGCTGTTTAAGTTTGACGTCATGTGGACAGATTCACTGAGGAGATTTTGGTGCAACCTAGTGATCCTTTCCAGTAAGTACAAAAGAACTGACGTATGGCATACTGGCCAATAATGTGTTATAGGTAACTGTATAGGTAACACAAGTGAACTGAACTTCTGATGATGGAATACAGAAATTACAGTGGAGTATAACTGAAACCCCTAAATATGGGGATTTACCACCATCCAAAGTGGTTGGAAATGCATTAGGCAAAGTCGTCTATCAGTATGAGGCTTGTTAAACCTCTGGAAGCACTGAGGTCCTCAAAAGGGTTTGGGATAAAAGGAAATTCTTACAAATAAAAAAAGATAACTGACAAAATGTTTTAAAATGAAATCAATCATTGATCAAATAAACCTGGGAGAACACGGCAATAACATGATCAGCAAGCAAAACTGAGAAAGCTCAAACCATTCGGTTGACAGAAATTGAGGCACGAGCAAACGTGGCACATTTATGTCCACATTGATAGTCAAAATACATGAGCATCCCAGTGGGGAACATTAAGTCAAAAAAAATCTTGTTTGGATTTACATATGGGCAGGTACATAAAGGAGAAGCCTTGCTTCCACAGAAAAACATATTTAAAAGCAATTGAACGCTACAGCTTGAACTTCCTAATAAAATAGGTTTAATAAAATATTACCATCCTATGTGGGATGGAGGAACCAGAATTCAGATATAGAATCCAGATGTGGCTTCTTTTAACTGTTTTTAACCACTGGCATAAAATTGTCCATAACTAATATTTAATAACTGTGTTAATAATCTGAGGTATTAAGTTAAAGCAAAAAAAGTCAGATGAAAAAGGATAATAATACGTGCATAATAGTACATGCAAAATGGTAACACAGAAAATATATAATCATACCACAGAAAATCTATAATCAAGCTCACCATGTAAAGTCCGAACAAAGCTCTCATGTTTCTGTTGTTCAGCTTCAGTGCTTGTGCAAAATACTTTCTTGATAGTTCAAAGTTTTCAAGCCCCCCTTGAGTATATTTAACCTGTAAAAATGATAGGCTCCTGAAACTTGGATATATCATCAAGCATTCACTCTTGAATCAAAGATATTATAAAACTTCTCTTCAGATTTGTATTTCACATTTCAAATCAGGTAAGTCCTGTCAAAGGCTACATACTGGATGGGGAGAAACCTGAGCTCTTTTCAATAAAGAAAGGTTTTTTTTAAAAAAAAAAAACATTTAACTATAGGAAAAAAGTCAACATTAATTTAGGTATCAGTTCCTATAAGAGTAAAAGAGTGATTATTTTGAACCTATCGATAAATTACTTATAATCTTGTGATGGTCTCCTAGGAAAATAACACAAACTTTACATCTAAAGCTAAATTCTGACTGCTACAAATCCACACTAACTCTATATTCCTTCAGCGTAGGATTAGTTACCAGCAGTACACAAAACAACACAATGCCTTTTATTTATGCCACAATGCCTGTTATCTATTCAAATGCAAACAAATGTGCAAAGTTTAAAGATTACTCTATTACTTATGTATTCATTTTGCCTGTTATTAAATAAAAAAAGAAAGAGAATAAATATTAGAAGACATTTCACAGATTTTCTACCACAAAGCTATTCAGACTTTCAAGTTTTAATGTTAATCCAATTTTATCCATGTTAACAAAACAAATGAAATCCTTTCCCATCAGTTAACAAGATAATGTAGAGAAAAAAAAATATACATCTGAAAAATTATTATAAACTGTTAAAAACCTTTTAAAAATCTTTTAAGGGTCCTCTCTCCACCTTGTGCTCTTTCAGGCAAAATTTCCTATATGAAGGGTTCCAAGATCTGGCTCCACAGTTACAGGCAGTACGTAACTTCCTAGACAGCATTATTATGAAAAAGTTTAACTTCTCATACACTTGATTTGAAAAGTGCAAAAACACTTCAGCAAGAATAGCTTTTTTAAAAGGAAATTTTATCTTCAATAATTCCTGCCCTTACTCTTACTTATAGCTTAGTTATATTATTATACTAAATAACAAAACATAATTTTCTTAACATATTAACTTCTATGAGATGTTTTAAACTAACATATTCTCTGTGTACTCTCTTAAATCTCCCAGGGAAAAACTAAAATAAACTGTTTTTATTCAATTTTCACCACTTAAGTGATATTAAAAACAGAATACGTAGTTGAACACATTGATTTTTCTGAAAATACTTACTTCAGCATATTGCTGACAATATAAGTGGTTGTGTGGATTAGTCATCATAAGTTCCTCTAAGCAGAAGGCTGCCTTTGCATAGCTAGGGAATAAAAAAAGTGACATATAAAAAAGCATATAGCTCTTTGTTTCAGTTTCTTTACACTATGGTAAAAGGAGTCTTAATTTTCTTGCATAACTTCACATGACTTACGATCAAAAGAAAAGTTCTATTTTTATACAACATTTGAAAACACAAATTATTATTTTTACATTGTAGGTAGTGAAATCTTGACTAAATGTAATGGCCCTGCTATATACTGAACAGCTCACGGAAAACTTAAACTTTACCCATTTCATATTAATAAAGGATGAGAAGAAACAGGATAAGCAAATTTTGTTAACTACTAGAAGTTACTTTAATTCAGGCTATGAAGAAACTCACGTTTTCCTCTGCATAAAATTCAGCTACAGGATGATTCATATATCAAGCTATAGAGGAAAGAACTAATTTCTCGATGTTATTCGCTCACAGTTAACTACAGAAAGTGAGATCTAAAACCCATAAGACCAGTTCTAAAATCAAAAAGTCAAAATGAAAAAAGCATTAAACCAGTCAAAATAGGCAAAAATTTATTATTGCAAAAGAAAAGGCTAGCACTTGTTCTTTGAATTAAAGCTTTCAGCATGAATTATGAAGATAAGATCATAATACAAATTTATTCACATTAATAATAAAAATCCTAACTTCACAATGTGTCAGCTAATACGGTTTCCTGCAGAAGTTGCATCTGCCACAGATGTATGATAGCATTGTTCAAAAGAGCTTGCACGGTAGGATTCCAAAAACCAAAGACACAAAGTTTGTAACACAAGTATTAGCAAATATTTAATATTAGAGTACCAGCAATTTAGCAATGATGAGACAGTATCAAAACAAGTAATTTGTATAATATTTTTTCTTAAAAGAAACGTACTGTGATTTTTCCTCTGTGCACATTATGACAGTCAGGAAATTTGGAGAGAAAGGATAGTCATCTCAGTCTCCAAAAGTGGTAGATTAGAAGCAAGCCACAGTCCTCAAAACGGAACAGAACACAGAACAGGGGACTACACAACCTTGGAAATCTAAGCATGTTCATGAGCAAAGGTAACAGCATGGCAATTTCACAGGCAACAATAAATTTAGGATACTGACAGAACCGGTAAGCTGACTATTTCCTTTTATGAAAAATTAACTTTTAGCTGCTTTTTATCCCAGATTCTAATTTTTTCCCAAATTAATATTAAAATAATAATAATGCTCAGAAGAGTACACTAAGCAAAGTCAATTTTTTCAATGACCTGGAAAAAATTCTGCATAATATTTTTATTAGAAATATAGACCGATATAAGTGCAAGCAAAAGCAATTTACTTCTTAAGTTTCACTGCAGCATTTTGTAATGAAGATTATAGCCAAAGGGAAAAAATAAATAAATATATCAGTAAAAGTAAGTATGTCTGCTCCACTCTATCATTCATTTTCGTACTGACAGCTCTGATAAGGTTAACTATATTTTTATACATTGGAGTTTAGTTCACATTTTTAAAAAACAGCTATTTTCTTGGACAAGTTGCTGGTGAATTTCCCAAAACAAATTTGGATATCGAAATCCTGGATTATTCTTTAAGTCAGCATTTGAAAGAGCTTAATCATTATTTTTGGTGAGAATGGAGTAGAAGTGATGAGGGAACAATCTTTTCATGAGAACGAGAATGGCTGTTTTTTCCTTGAGAATTCGATTCTTTTACTACCCTCTAGAAAGGAAGGAAGCAAACAATGCGATGTAATTCAGGCCGGGCCGAAGAGCTAACAGGGGCGGTGGGGGAGATACGCCTTTGGGTGGAGGTTAGAATTAATGCTGTGATATTAGAAAACTCGTACTAAGGCTTTGAGCTAATCCTCTCACACTGGGATTTCCTCCTGTCACTACAGCAATAAAAAAAGCTAACAAAAACATTAAATATCCAATAAGCAAGTTACTACAACATTCAGCATTCTTGATTGCACTGGCTTTTGTACCCAGGCGACGAAATGCCTCTAGCTCTGGATCCATTTGTGTGTGTGCGTGTGTGTGCGTGTGCGTTTTTCAGGTTTAGAAATATGTCCTGCAAGTTCCTGCAGAGGTTACTTAACAGAAAAACAGAACATTACATACAGTTAGTGTAATTAATTTTTTTTAGAGGTACAGATTTTAAAATCTATTACTAGTAAAAAATATCACTTGAAAGAAAAATGAGGGTAAGTGTGTGCTGGTCTTCACTACAGACACAGCTTTTTTTTTTTTTATCTCAGCTATTTTAAAAGAAATTAAATATACAGGTAATTTAGTAAGTTGTTTCTGTTCTAAAACCAAATGCTTTGTTATATCATTAAATAGTCAGATAAGGTTGTTAACTATTTCCTGATGACGCGTGCTATATTGGAAGTGAGACAGTATACTTTCTAACACTGATCCATCAAAACAATCACTGAGGTCTGTGACTTACATGGAGTAAGATTTCAATTTAATAGTTTTTATGTGGACTTAGCAAACAACTTACTCGTGTTCATTGATGTAAAGTTCTGCAAGTTCATGCCAAGCTTCTTGGTCTCCGACAAATCTGCATACAGAGAGCAGGGGAGGAAAAAGGAAAAGAATGTGTAGAGGGATTCTGTAAATGACCAGCATGGAAGCAGAGGAATAAATCAAATGCAAATTCTATTTTAATTAAAAAGATTTATCAGAATAGCAAAACACAATCCGTATTCTTGCAAGACACTCACTGTTCCAGATACTCATTCAGCTCTCGGATGGCCTCAAGATTTTTCCCCTGGGCTTTTCGAATGGCAATCTTACGCTTTCTTGCTGCCTATGGTTTGACATTAATAAAGGATTAGGGTCTCATAATTCCCTGGGTTTTTGTACAGAAAGCAGCTTGACTGTGCAAATTATTATCTCAATACCAGTGGAATTCCATTGCAGAGCAACCGCTAGGCTGGAGTTTATAAACATACCCTATGACATCCCACTGAGAGATTGAAAACCTCTTCTTACAATCACATTATGCATGCTTTTCTTCGGAGGCACAAACTGTATGCATTATTTCATTCAAATAAGTGACTATCCAGATTCTGATAATTACAAAACAGCAGGAGAGGCTAATCTGCAGCCACTCCAAAGACCCCCACCTTCTCATTCACAAGGTCCATGATTATCGCGACCGAGTTTTAGAGAATTGCACAGAGGCATCCGGGTTGCTACTGTATAAATAGGGCTTTCAGCCATTTTTAAAGATTTCTGTCAAAGTGCGAAATGCCATTCTTAATTACTGTCGAATATATATACATGGGGGTGTGTGTATATATGTGTATGCAGATACACATATATACACACACACACACAACTTCACAAACAAGTATTCATCATTCTTAGAGCACAAAGTAGATCTTTTAACGTAAAGGCAATATAAAATAGCCTCTTCAATAGCAAAACCAGCCAGTACTTCAATATGTGAGCAGAAAATGTATTTCAGCATATATCTTTGTTTTTTAATACTGTTTAAGTATTTTATTGCAATAATATTTTGATAAAAGTTGTCATAGACCACCAGGAAAAAAGACACACGACATTTTAATAGTTGATTATTCGCAATTCCAATCTGATACTCCAATTTTTGAAGTATGTAGGTTACAGTTCTCTAAAAGCAGTCTTCTGACCCCGAGGAATTTTGAAGCAAGGTATACTTAAGTTGTAATTCAAAAAAATGGACATATTCCCAGCAGTCTGACAGAGTTTGGAGCAAATAGCAGTACACCTCAGCCAGCCTAAAAGTCACCAGATCTGGAATGTGACAGAACAACACTAAAAACAAATTCTAGTATAACATGCCTCAAAGAAAAAATACTATCAGTCAACTTCCTTTCATAAGAAGCGTTCTCCTGGGCCATCATAGCTGCTGCAGTCAAACATGAGAAGACAGATGGTCTGTTTTGCAAGATAGATCTGTATGTGTACACACACTTACACGCTATTTCTCCATAAGATAATAGTCATGAAAAGCTAGTATACCTTTTTTTCCGTTGCACAAACCCACTGCTTATTCCCCTCCTAACTCTTATCCTATCTCATATCTTAAAAAGAGGTTGCACAGGTACAATCCTACAGAAGTCTTGACAGCATGGGAAAGGGCAACTCTTCAATGAAAACTTAGGTTTTTAATCTTAGAATTTGAGATAGTTCTAACATTTGTTTCTTCGTGACATCCCTTCTTAAGATCTCAGTCACATGAAATGTGAAGCCTTTTGGATTTTTAATATTATTTTAACTGTGACTGTTCTCCTACTTAATATCCTTTTATCATCATTTGACCAATTCAATTTCTTCTGGAAGAAGAGTAGCCTGTACCATTTAAGTAAATTAGTTCAAGCTGACAAAACAGACACCACCACAGTTAGAAACACATTTAACTCCTCAAACATAGAGTCAATGCAACTTCAAAGAAAATGGTACAAGTGAAGAAAAAAAAAATTACTGTTCTGCTTAATGCAATGCACAGATAGAGAAAAAATTCACTGGAATTATCAGGAGACAAATTTGGATAAAGACAGGTTGGTACGTTTACTCAAGAGTCATATCGTTTCTTTGTCAAACTGCAACCTGTGAAACTACATTCATCTTTCTAGCTTTAGTGAGAGATGTTTGGCTAAATCTTTAACTGACTCTGGAAATTGCAATTCTGGACCATGCCATTAATCACTGTAACAACAATATACACTGCTTATTTTCTGGAGCTTTTAAAATAAGGATAACTGCAAAATTAAACTTTTGATATTTTCAAATATAAAAAAAGGTATCTCATGTTTATCACATAGCCACTATTATTAAGAAACAGAAAAAAGAGCCTCGCTTTTTATGAGCGGATGTCAAAGCATTACATAAAGCAGGTTAGTACCCTTGCTAGGGCAGCAACACGGAGGCGCAGTGTTAAACTAACTCAGGGCCACACAGTGACGCAGGCACAAACCAAACCAGCTTTTCTGATTCATGCTCCACTTGGAGACACATCACACTTGGTGATACAACGTGGAGATTTGCATCCCAAAAAAGGAAAGGCATGATCCTCAATAGGAAGAGATAATTACCGAGGAAGCCTGAAGGCAGACAGCGTACAGAACGCAAGCACCTGCGCCCCAGCAGGGCCGGGCAGAGAAGGTAAAGAGGGCATACTAGCGCACACACCCAAAGGGGCGTATCGTCCAATTCTGACTTATGAGAAGAGAAAACTTTTTGCAGGTGACAGCTTAAGGAATTCTACTTTAAAATGTAGCATTTGAATTAAAAAAAAAAAAAGGTATTTTCAAAATTTAAAGAAAAAGCAATCAAGAGACTGAAGTGATCAAAACTGAACTGCTTGAGAACTGAAATGTACTGTTTAATATATAAAATCAGTCAATGCATCTGAGAACTTAATTTGCAAGGTCAGACAGGAATTGTCCACATGTCACCCTTCTTCGTTTCTAATGAAACTACTTCGATCGCATGCAAGCGAGCCCTCCAGCCCCGTCTGCAAAAGCATTATTTCAGTGGTTGCTGTATTTCTGAACCACAGCACTCCCAAACAGCATGCATCTCTGATACCTTAAGACAGTAACTGTTGAAAAGGAACTATTTCTAGTCACAAATATAAACTGATATTTGTCGATAACAAGCATTTCATCTAATGCAATCAAATAATAAGGACAAAAGGATTAGGTATAATTAACAGGTTCTGATAGTAGCATTCAGGAGTAACACAAAGTATATATACCTCCAATAGAGTTTATTCTGTTCTAAACTGCATCTTCCTGCTCCAAATCCCCACTACATTTCTGCAAAATTACACTTTCTGTTTCATGTTTGAAAATAACTGTATTTAAAACTTCCTTTTTCATTCACCTTCCGCACCATCAACGATAAAATAGCATCTAGGCTTGAAACGGGCACTCTTCATCCTCAAATACACGTTCAAAAATGTTGGGATAAGTTAGCTTATTTACACAGAACTCTTAGTTCAAAAGAAGAGGCACAAACATTGAAAACAGTGCTGACATTCAAAGGAAAAAATCTAGTAACTGGATGATCACAATTTTTTATAATGGCACAGAATTTTTGAAAGTCAGCGTTTTGCTTAACCTGTTAAGAACTGTTGGGAAGAAGTCAATCAAGATCTGTTTTTTGCTTTGTTCTTGAAAATGTTGCTAACATTTTTCAATCCTATAAATAACAACAAAAATATTCTGAACACATTGCCAAGAGATTTACACTGAGGCATTTAGTAGCAGTGATACAAAGTATTCAGAACTAAGATGCCTAAAAGTTTTAGGACTGACTAAAAAAATAAATAAATGAAAACAAAACAGCATTGCTTTTATCTGTATTCACATACTACACTTCCATTCTAGCTTTTCTTTAGACCGTAAGGACTATCAGTTACACTTTAAACAGAGATTGAAATGCGGTATGAGTGCAGTAGTCAATGCTTCAAGAAAAAAAAAAAAAAACACACACAAATACGGAAAGGCTTGCATTAAAATCAGGACATTGACAAGTTTGTGCGTTGTAAGCTTTTACTCCTTATCTTGATCTATATAGTCTCTGAGCCCTTATCTAGGACTCTGGATGTGTCCGTTTCCTCCTTGGTGAGCTGGGAAGGACGCTCATTGTGTTCACGGGGTGCTTAACGAGTATCCCCAGGAGACTGGAATACGTAATGACAATTTACACGTTTAGCACCAGCTTTCATTTATTTCCATCAAATGAAGTAATTTTTTTTTTTTTTTTTTAAACTGTGCAACACCACCGCTACAATAAAAGCCACCCTACCAAACAATAAATGATTCCTCTTACAAGAAAACGCAGAATGCCACTAGCACTACGGAAGAGTTACTTAGCATTTATATTTCACATATCCAACTTAGCACCTTTTTCATTATCAGCTGATATAAGAAAAATAGGTCATAGTTTTTATTATGTTTCAGCCTTTCGTTTAGTAACAACCTCACATTTCAAAACGTGAACTCATTGTTAGTAGACCTATTGCAAGACACCAAAAAACCGCACAATACAGACTAGGAATCTGTTCAAAAACATTAATTTCAAGTCCACTAAAAATTACCATGAGAAACTTATTTTTAAACTACAAGATTTGTGATTATTATGAAATCTATGAAGCATACTAAAATAGCTATAACAATTATGTTAACAAAGACAGAAAAACAAGGCTCCCCAAGGGTTTCACGTGAATTCTCTGCATCACAAGAATAAGGTTTTTAATAACAATTCTAATTCATAAAGGAACTCGCTCTCCTTTCTCCTTCCACCTTAAATCAAAAAGGAAAAGACAAAAATTTTTATGCTGCAATAAGATATGCACTGTTTGACCATGCAGAACCTATGACATGGAATTCGCCCTATCAATTTTCCAGAGTTTAAAACAAAACACTGGAATGGTTATTGGCCGATTCTGTAAATCCAGCATTTTTAATGGAAAGACATATGTCATCTTAAAGAAACACTTATACCATAATCAGTATCATATGGGGTAAGGTGCTTTAATATGTCACATATTTATTAAACACTGAACTTTTCCAAGCTATTTCTTTTAAAGACTAATAATCCCCAATCTGGCACAAGAACTAATCCTCCATTTGTCATGATTCTTTTTAATTAGCATTAAGTAGACTCAAAGTGAAGCGAGGATTTGAACATTTATCAACTTCTGCATTTGATTAGTAAAACATACCAACAGAGAGTCTAAGATCGCTCTAAATTTCACGGTCGCAAAGAAAGTATTAGCCCGAGAAGGCTTTTCGGTTCCTGGCTCTCTTAAGA